TAACACCTCATGAAGAATCTGAATACTCACAAACTTTTAATCGTTAGACAAAGGAAGCAAAAATGGAAGCCCTAAATCAACCGTAAATAATGCGAGGGAAATGGTAGTAATACCCCACTTGAAGAGGATTTTGGCCAGCACGTTCAAATTCAGAGGTCCACGGAATTGGATTTTTCAAAATGAAAGCAACTGAACCAATTTCAATGATTACAGTTTTATCCTGTATGTGATTGTTCCGATAGTTTAGTCACACGATTGAATAGATTCGTGAAACTCCGAACAATTTTCTTCAAAATGCAAAAAATTCGTGACTAACACGATCGTAATTCCCCATTGTTTGTTTCACACAGGAATGCCTTGACTCTGTCACTGAGGCTTGGGGTGTCAAAGTGGAACGTGTGGAAATCAAGGATGTACGATTGCCTATTCAACTGCAACGCGCCATGGCCGCCGAAGCCGAGTCCGTGCGAGAAGCGACGGCCAAAGTGATTGCCGCGGAAGGAGAAATGCGCGCATCTGGTGCACTGAAAGCTGCCGCTTTCGAGATCAAACAACATCCGATCGCAATGCAACTACGCTATTTACAAGCAATGAGCAGTATCTCATCGGGCAAAGAGTCGACCATTATTTTTCCCGTCCCCTTGGACCTTTTGTCCTTTTTCCGGGCTGCACTAAACGAGGATCCGAGTAAAGGTCAATCACCTCTGATCTTGAATGAACATCTTATGTCAGAAATACATGCCAGTATAGAGAGTCTGCAAGCCGCAGCTGCGCTCAGTGCCTCGGGAACGGATACGAGCGAGAAACGGTTGATCGACTTTGAGTCTATTGAAGATACGATGGATCAGAATTCCCAAATCGTATGATGAATAGCCCAGGATAATTCCCTGTCGTTCTTTGCACACAAACACACACACTTTGTCCCGGATTGCCCACTCACTCACCCCCGAAACACCAAGTATTAATACCTTGCACCTGGACTATCAATTAATTGACACGCATCATCAACCCTTTCATTCATACAACAAACGCATTGGTAACTGTCACCCATGCAAATTACCAATTTGATCAGAATTACTTTCCAAACATGCGATTAGGAGCATGTCCACCGGAGACACGTGTGCCTACAGGTCAACTGGTTGACATTTGTGTACTGGTCACGTGAAGTTTCAGATTTCAAGGTCAACATATGAGATATTCACATATGCACCCTATGTGATGTAAATATAACACCACCGCAGTCCATGATTGAGTAACTGTTTCTATTCAGACCAGAATGTCACTGTCACTGTTATGGGCGGGTGTGTGATTTAGCGGAGGTCAGGTAGCTAATTTCTTCTGTCCCTAGATGCTCACTGGGGGTCACTTACTGAAATGAATTGTTTACAAACGTGTTTCACTTTAGATTTATAACTATTTTTCTACTAATTCTATGCTCAGTGAACAACAAGCTATCGCATCAGGATAAATGGACAGGGCAAAGCCAGGTAACATGTGCGAAGTGAACACGATATGAGAAATGTTGGACAAGTATGAATAAAAAATGTGTGAAAATGTGAGAGAAACACAGTCGATGAGGAAATGGGGCGAATGTAAAAAGTGTCACATAGGGCAAGCACTCTTATGGCTATGGTAACAACCAAGTTTCCACTCCGTTCTAACTGATACAGCACAATACCTAATAATCTATTCGTGCCATACCTGGTGATCCACAAAGCAGAAAACACATTGTTGAGAAAAAATTCGGCTACCATTGATATGCACTTGTATCCGATTAAACCGTGTCAGATGTCACTGGGTGATCACAACTCACAGGTCAATTCACACTTCCTGAATCGCCTGTGTATCTGGTGTGGAAAACCGACCGCTCTGTTTCGACCTTTCGCCGTTCGTTAAAAACAACTCACAGTTATTATGCACTGCAAGACTGACTAAATGAAAGATGACAATACAAATTTGGTTTGACCGAACACATCAAGTTTGAGTTGTCGATAAAAGTGCGAACAAATAAACCGTCTTAATCCGCTAAAATAAAAACCGGCAGATTTCTACCAAAAAAATGCACTATATTCTACAAACCGGACTGGTTCAGAGCGGAACGAATATAAAACAGAAGAAGCCAGTGACTACAGAGAAGTTGAGTAATAATGTGCAATGTCTACACCACCGTCGAGCTCAGTTCAGAGTAGAAAAAATATCACTGCTCTCCAGCTTTATGATAGGTTGCTCGTTAACACAATCTTTCATGGTAACACACATACGGGAAATATACTACAAAGTGGCATCCGCGGTCCCACTGAATGTTTTCTCTTATTCAACGTTCAGTGTTAAGACAACCGTGGGAAGAATATTTTACCGGACCCAGTACAGAATTAGCATCACTTGTGGGATCATGGATAACTATAACTCATTCATATCACCGCCTGTGTCATTCACTAAACGGGCGGGAGTGGCCCGGTGGTAACATCACGAAAATTATCACCCCGGGGATGTGTGTTCCAATCCCATCACCACCGCCCAGCTTTACCCATTGTGTGTGTCGAACGGCAGCCCTTTGATTGGCCGCTTCCCTCCTTCCTGAAAATTGTACCATTGGATGTTCAATAATAGGAAGTAAAATTTAAAAAGAAGATAAAAAGATAAACGATAGAAGATACAAATGATCGCACAGATGTAACCAGTATGTGGAAAGATCCGAAGAGTTGAACAATGATATAATAAAGGTAAGAACCTACGCGATGAAGCTGAGTAGCGAAGGGAGAAGCCGCACATAACAGATTGTTGTCATTGACATAGGGGATTGAATGTATTAATCAGCCCGGGAATGACAGAGAAAAAGCATGATTTCTGTTAGCTAGTGAATCGGTTTGAATTGGATCTTACTATTCAGGGGAAATACTGGTTAATCTTTCACCATTAGTACAATTGTTAAGTATCTTGTGAAGTATGCATTTCAATGTTAGAAATTCTTAGGCAATCACATTTGATTCAAAGGAAT